CATTGGCGTCACAAAACGTCTACCAAGAGCCTCCATAAAGAAAGCTAAGTTGCGCACCTTTGAAAATGGTACATAAACTCTTTCATTAATATTATTTACACTCATTATATGTGGCACACCAAACAAACGGTCGTCTACAGCAATTTTACGGCAGAATGCCCCACATGTTTGATTTTGATTGTGCAAAAAAGACACAATTGAATCAATGACAAAAAACTCATCATCTGTAGAGTACACTATGCTATTATTAGATTTAGTTGGTTCATCGTCATAATAACCTGAGACTCGGAACAGTATGCCTAATTTTTTACATTGAGTGTACTCCTCTAATTCACCGCATACCAGATTTTCTTCTGCCAGGAGCTGGACTTCCATTGCTGTGGGGGGTCTTATTTCATTGCTACCAAATAGGACCAAATTTTCCACACGAACTGCATTTGGAATCCTATTTCCTGATAGTATGAATTCAATTTCTTCTGCTACTTCCTCATCTATGTCAGGGTGCAGTCCGAAAATGGAAACAGTGTACGCAGACAAGTGCCTCTCCACAATTTGATCAATGGCATGATAAGGTGATGACACATTTTCTGAAGCCTTCTTATTTAATGATTCAAATGGGAAAGTACTGTGCACATGAAGCGGCCCCCACTTTCTTACTGCTGAAGGTAAGTGTCCCAGAATATGAATATTAAATCGCATTCTTCTGGGTAGATAAGTAGCTTGGAATCGGGTTTGGAATTGAAGTAGACATCTCTCTGCTTCATTGATGTCAGCATTCGTAACACTGTCACGAGACAACAGATAGACAGCTTTCGCCAACAGCCCCAGAAGGTTTAAGCGTGCATTGACACCCAAGTCTTGCATGCAAACCAAAGCAAAATGTAACAGCCAATTTCTCCATTCAGTGCCTTTCCACTTACGGCGTTTCAAGATACTTCTTGGCTTACGCGACATGTGGGTTGGTGTTCTTATATGCAACAATCTGTTGTCTACATCCCTGAGGAAAGCATCTTGGTCCACTGTTTCCTCTATAATAAGCTTTGTGATAAATTTGGTAACACCGATGTAAATTGGATGTAAATCATCTGGTGAAAATCCGTAACCCAGGTCAAAGTGCTCCAGATTCATGACTTCTGAAAATCCTTTCATACCAATTACTCTATGTCCTAGATCAAAAGCCTGCTGCATGTTGTCTCTTATACTCTGGTTAGACCTTACATGTATGATTTCAGGAATCTGAACTACCTGTGCTTCTCCATTTCTTCGAATCCTTTGAACTATTGTTCCTGGCATGGGATATTTCATGGCATTATCTAGTTTCACACCCGGGTGCTCACAAAACGGGCAACCATAGGATCCTGAATGGAAAGAGCAGTTTAACACCTTGGCACGGGCGTTAGCATCCATGCAGAACGCAGTTGGCTTAAAAAGGGAAGTTACTTCTTCATCATCTTCACCATTAGGTTTCCAAGCTATGCCATTGACAGAAAGGTCATTACACTCGTCTACAAGAGCTCTCAAAAACATGTCAAAATCTGGAGGTTTGTCGTCAATCCAAAGGCCACCTAGGAAAGTTAGTTTCTGACGCAAGGATGGAATGAGTTCATTGAGCCTGACAAATAATGCCCAAGCCTCTGTTCCTGACGACTTACTAAGGCTAAAACCATCAGTATTCAACAGATAGGAGAAATCAAACAAACCAAGATTTAAGGCTCTATAACCTTCACCATCATAGATATCTTCAAGTGCATCTTGATGAAGTTTTTGTCTTCTTTGACGATGCTGGAGGTACTCCCACACTCCTGGTGTAGACAGAAACCTGCGTAACTGTTTCTTTAAGCTGAGAGTGATAAAATACTTCACATACTTTTTACGCCTCTGTTCACCACACACCTCACAAACTTTTATTCTAGGCAAATTGTCCCACAAACCAAAGTATTCCATACAATCGGTGCAATAAGCATGCTTTGTAATGCCAGCTTTCGTTTTACCCAAAAAACTCCACAGGAGCTTCTTCGAAGATGGCATGACCTCGGGATTGGAGGCCACATTAAAAATGCGACAGATAGCAACAGTGGTTTTATAATCAAGATGTTGCTTGGAACTCAATGCAAGTATCATTGCTAAAATTTTCCTCGCATTCATACCATCTGCTGATTGAAAGAGGCGACCAAGAAGTTCATTATCCAGTCCAAATATATCACGTTCATCATCAGATTCTGGGTCAGCATCCTCATCCGGGTCATCCGGGTCCCCATGTGGATCTTCTGGATCGCCATCTGGGTTTGGATCTCCTCCCAGATCTGGGATCTCTTCTGGATCCGCACCATACTCCGGATCTGGTCCATCATCCGGATTTGGGTCCCCACCTGGGTCGTGTCCTTGACCATCGTCATCATCATCATCGCTTGATGAGCTGGTAGAACTTGGCATACTGTTGTTGCTGCTATCTTCACCAGCAGTCGATGAACCGGAATCACACTCATATCTTTGATCTAAGAATGCAAACTGAGTCTCATTTTCACTGTGGTCCATCTATAATGCCAAAGAAAAGCATTTTAAGAACAGTAGCTATACAGTAAATAATAATTTTTTCCAAAATATGCAAATATTCCTTACTTCCTCAGCCGAATCATCATTTTGAAAGTTCAATATTTCTCTAGGTTTTGTATCCCCATGTACCTCACCATCCGACTCAATTTCTTCTGCATCCTGAAAACAAAACAATGCGGTCAGACTACTGTGATATTTGCATTACAGCAGTATTATAATCAGATAAAAGCTTACAGAATTTTCCTCAGTAGACGAGGTAGTTGAATCAGTGGAGGCTGTTTGATGATATTCACAAGAACATTCAGATGATGATTCATCAGCAGTGCAGAACTCACACTGACAAAAATCACGATTAGGGAGGTGATATGGGCAATAACAGTTTTGGTTTCTTTCACGCTCAGTCTGTCTTCTCCACCGCGTTGTGCGACTATCTCCTGTATATGGCCGTCTGACACCTCCTGCGTTTTCTTCCATTTTTCCTGCGAGATGAAAGGTAAAAGTTAATGGTCAGAATGGTAATATTGATGGTGATGTTTGAGAGGTTAAAAAATACCATTGTTACGTCTCTAACTATCTGCCAAAAGACAATCGCTTTAAATGACATTTGAGTCCTTTTCGAATATTTTTCTCTTACCTGTAATGACAGATTTATGGCTTAACACTGCTTTTACTTCTTAGGGCGTAAGCCATTGCAAGCCGGTAGATTATTTACTTATTTTCAACACACAACACCGCCGCGCTCACCGCCTACCTGTTGTTTCCCGAAACATACATATCTTCCGCCTGGCAGCCTGATTCCGGCTGGGCCTTGGGCCTGCCTAGGCATGTATTTTTTTTGCTATGCAGGTTGGTAGTCCTACCTAGCACAGTTTGTTTTGATTGTTTCCGAACAGGTGTTTGATTGAAAACTCAGAAATATTCATTTGAATTTTGATACAAAATAATATACGAGTGTTGTGTTGACGTGCATAACAGGTTTTCAAAATGTCTTTCGCGTACGTCTATGTTCGGAAAGAACGTAAATTTGCTATGGTTGAATCATCCGCAGTATGTGTCTTAGATCAGAACTCAACCTCTTTCAAGCCGGTTGACAGCCGCGAGATTATCAATAATACTGAGTTCAAATATGCTGTCATTGAGAAGGATACAGTGAAACAAGCCCATCTGTGCTTTTTTGGAGGTATGTCAGTAATTAAAACATTGCTCTTCAGTTGAGTACTCGACTCGGTTTGCTGTCGAGGTTAGGAGGTTATGTCCACCAGTATTTAACAGTTTTATTTTGCCCACTAGACTCTGAAGAGCAAAAAAAAGGAGCACCAAGGATAAAGATAAATAATCCCAAAGGACTGGGGGATTTAGTTATTCCTTTAGCTGCTTTACAGAAAAATCAGGAGGCTGATGTCGCTAAATCAACAAAGGTCAGATATAGAATATAGAAATAAGTTGTGCTAGAGGTAAACGAATACTGTTTAAAATGCAGTTATTGTTCATGCAGGAAAAGATGCAAACAGCCAAAAATACAGTGACGAAGAATCGACAAGAAAGTATTTTAAAGAGATCTAAGGAATCAAAACAGTCTGGCCGTATAACGGCAGATAATGTTAAAAAGACTCCTAAAGAGACTAAAAAAAAAAAAACAGTAAAATCTGAGCTAAAAACTAAAAATGAAACTGATGCAAAGACTGATTGGAAGGCTAGACCTAGTAAAATAATAAGGGGGGACAAGACTTTAAAACCCTCCTCTTCTTCGGAACAACTAACGCAGAAAAATGACTGTCTCTCAGAAAATGAACCCAATATGTTTATCACTGAAAATGGACCATTTGTAAGTTAATTCAATCCTATTTTACCCTCTGTGTATTATAATATTGAGTACAGAAGTATGTTTTTTCTTTTGTTACAGGGTGAAGATGAAACTATGCCCTCAAAGACTGTAGTAGATAGCTCAGCTGTCCAAGGAACATTAGTTCAGGGACAGGAAGGGGATCTAATGTCTGGTGATCAAATTGTTGGTACTTCTGAGTTACCAATTCAAAATGTTAATGCAAATAATGATGCTCTGGTTGGCAAAAGAGAATCAATTAACAATAAAAGTGATGTTGCGCCCAAAGAAACTTTTAATGAGTCACTTAATAATAAAAGTTTTGCAATTAGTCCAAATAATGTGCCAAAGGTGACTCATCTTGAGTCTGATACTGTTTCTTTAACTCAAGTGGTAGAAAGCCCAAAAGATAATTCTAGTACAAGTTCTAGTCATATCCCAAAAAAGGTAGCAGAGGTAAGCTATTTTTGTACAGTACACAAATCTTCATTTACAGTAAAGTAATGTGGTTACTAATGGGAAATTTTATGTTTCAGAAGAAATTGGGTAATGATGAGTCTAGTGATTTATGTGGCTGCAAGTGTGCAGACACTTTCAAAATTGCTCAGGAAAACCAAATAATATTGAAGGCTTTGCAGTTTAAAATTGACGCAATGTGCAATGGTAAGAATGATATATCAGTAGCAAAGGTCCTAAATGAATTACTTAGCTCAGATAAGTGCTAATATTGAATGTTTAGTATTGCAGAATGATGAGCCATCAACTTCAAAGAGTAAATTATGCTCCATTGCGGTAACTAATTCAATTGCAGAGTCAGATGATGGTGCAGGAGAAGGGACTCAGACTAATGCAAATGTTGAAATCCCTGAGGGTTCAGTAAGTTCATGAAATTGTATTATTAAAGCTTTAAAGGTTTCACGGTTCTACAGTAATTGTACTATATCTTACAGATTTATATTGGGGTCATAAATGGTGAAAACCGCTTTGTTTTGAAAAAAGAATTAGCAAAAGCAGACAAACTACCCAATTACCGAAAACGTCTTCTGAAAGTTGTGGAATTGGTGTGGCCCAACAATGATTTCTATCAGTACCGTCTCACTGCTGAAGAAGAGGGCACGAAGAAGGCATCACAGTCCCAAATCAATGCTGTGGATAGTACGTAGCCAAATATTTAATTATTTTCTGATTTTTGTTTTCCCTTGAGACCAATAGATTTTATTGTTCTGCACAGAGCTACTTAATTTACTAAATTGGAAAAAAATAAAACTGAGCCCTTTAAAATATAACAAGAACTTCCTACAACCTTTATCCGAGGCTTACAATAGACGGCAACTAGGTAAATTTTTGTCCGGTGTGTCCCAGGATGTGGAAAAGGAAAGTAAAAGACAACTAGAAGACAATTCAGGTACTGATGATGAGTCTCCCCTGAAGAAGAAAAGGTCTCCTATTGATAGTGATACTGATGACGATGATGAATACGTTGACATGGTGTAAACGATTAATGTGAAATAAATATAAATGGTGATGGTAATGATGTGTTTCTGCATATATGTTTTTTTAGAAAGGGACACATTTATGTCCTTGGGGCCATACATGTACACCCTGTCATCAAGGACATACCAATGACATACCATATATTAGACATAACTGGGACATAGTCCTAAAACACATGAGACATGTTTGAGACATCTGTGGACATACTCTGAAGGTCATGCAATGGACATATATAGGACTTATGTCCTTCTTATGTCTTCTATGTCCAAGTCTAAAAATTGAAACAATTGGACACCAATTTTAGGTCATGATGCAGACATTGTAAGGACAATGTCTTATTGTTGTCTATGTTATGTCCAGTCCAAAACATGTCCTTTGGCTCGTCAGGGCGTTTACGCGCTAGAGGGAGTTTTACCCACGAAAGTGGCCTAAAAATAAATATATTAATTTTAGAAAACATCTGATGGT